CCTTCCTTCTGTGCTGGACGGAAGCAGGGGTGTCGGGGGTGAGCCAGGTTTGCATCTCCTGGAGTAGAGGTGCCCCACACCCACAGCCTGCCTGCCTTGCTGTCAGAGGCCTGCAGAACAGGCAGCCACTCCGGCTGCCATAGAGCCGGCGACGTTTTGGTTAGCAAGCACGCACGAAGGCTTGGGGCAAAGAACTGAGCCGGGAAGACATGGGCTGCCCCTTCCGCTGCCAGGGAGAGTATTTCATAAACAGTGAACCTCTTCTTCAGCCTCATCAGTGAAAACCTGTCTTGGGTCCTGAAACTTTCTTCTATTTCGGCACATTCTCCAGTTTCTTTGTTCATGAAAAGTCCCATTCCATGTACCTGTCGGGGTCACCCTCCCATAGTCCTCCTGCCTCGGTGGTTTTCCCCAGAGCTTCACCACCACCCCCAGCTTCAAAACGGTTTCCCTCCAGACCTCACCTAGATAAATGTACCTGTTTGTCTTATTAAGAAAAACATTATTGGAAGACTTTCTTGTACTTGGAGGCATTTTAATCACCAGTGAACTGGAATGTCTTTCCGTATTTGTAGAAATCCACGTACACACACACGTGGGTGACAGTTCCAAGTGGCTGGGTGACCACAGCAGCTGCATGAACACAGGACTGCCCATGCTTGGCCGGGAACCAGGTAGTTTGCAAACTTGTTTCTGGGACTCCAGCTATTCTGATCACTTCCATTTCCAATCCAGGCTGTACTGGCGGTTCTGTTCCTTTACCATTCCTGTAACACGTTTCCACACGCCGCGTCTCTACCGTTTTATGTTTAAAATCACAGCAGTCACTGTCCGCTGCTTCTACTCGGGAAACTGTGTCGCTGGCAACTCTGAAACTTTCATACGAGCCTTCAAATAAACACAGAAACAAAAAAAACAAAAACGGAAAAAAAGTGTGTGCCTTGGGTGTTTTGAACCTGACCTGCATAAAACCATATTGTATCCAATGCTGTATATTTCATGGAAGGGTAAATATATCTGCAATGTACTGATGTAGCAGATACGATAGTCATGTGCCTTCTTTTCTGGACTGAGAAGCCCACTGCGATGCACAGCGTGAGGCCGAAAGCGACGTGAGAAATTAAATGTCGAGAGGACCTAGCCTTTTTCATCCTAAGACTGTGGGCCACACAGTCACTTAAGTTAAAAAATAAAAAGAACATTGAAATAAGACTGTGTTATCAATTAATTAAGAGTGCTCTCTACTATATTATCTTCAGTATTTTGATTTAGTTAAAATACAGATCCTGTTTGGGAATTTCCACGGAAAAGAGAAAGGTCAGCCTGGCAGGAGTCGGGGCTTTCAGGCCCACGTCCCCACCGCTGTGTTGCCCCCCAGTGGTCCTTGCTGGCAATGCTGACTGAGCTGGCAGTATTGATCATTTCCACATTTTGTTAAAAACAAAACGTTTGCTTTGAGTGATTGAGGCCACTCATCCCAGAAGAACTATTTCCAGTTTCCCTAAGTTAAAGGAGTGGCGACACAGAGTCTGTTTTTCCTGTAAGAAAAAACAAGTTAAGAAGTCCCATCAGTCCAATTCTCATCTGGGGTCGGGGAAGCCAGGGCCCGGGAATCCCAGGTTGTCTGTCTCCAGGCCATCACGCTCCATTTACTGAGCACTGGGTGGTGAGCTTCCCGAGCAGCCCTTGGCATCTCAGATGCATCCGGAGTGTAGCGAGCGTGTCAAGACAGCAGCTCTGCCCATGGGACTAGGACGGTCACAGCAACAGTGAATCTAGGGCAACTCAGCAGGTCTGCAGGCCCCCTCCCCCCCATCCTCCTAGGACACCTCAGCAAGCAGGCGGTGGCGTTTCCAGAGGCAGGGCAGATGCCATGTGCTGCTTACCCGCGTGTCTTTGGGCTCTTCTGCCAAACGGTGTGAAGGGAGCGAGGAACCGACTTTGCTCATACTGCTCGGCAGTGCTGCCGGTCCAGTCTGCCGGGCTATGGACCCCTGGGTTTCCGCCAGTCATCTGAGATCAGGGTCCGGGAAGCTGGGGCTCAGGGGTCCCAGGTTGTCCCAGAGCAAAGACTTGATATTTGCAACATGCCCCACGGCTCAGAGACGGGACGGGTGGCACCTGCTTAAGGACCACAGAGGCGATGATGCCCTTTACTGCTGAGGCTCAGAGAAACCAGATGCCGGCTCCTGTGACCTGCAGGTGGCTTGAACCCATGGCCCTACAGGCAGAGTCCTTGGCGAGGGGCCAGAGCGGCCTCCCGGGACACTCCCTCCCGCGCACCCGGCCACCCTGAGCCTCCCAACTCGGTTCTCGGTGGCCTCAGGAGCCAGGGCCCGGCCCTGCTGCAGCCGCAGCCTGACGTCGATGCCTGGCGCTTTCTCCCACAGCCTCCAGCCCCCTGCAGTCAACAGGGACCTCCTGGGTACAGAGGCCAGCGCGCGGCCCAGCCGGCTCCGAGGCGCTCGGCTCGGCCCAGGGCCCGCGGCAGAGCAGCTCCCTCTGGGTCGGGGCCGTGCTCTGGACAAGCTGAAAACAAAGCTCCGACTGCAAGCAGGAGCGTCTCCCGGGCGCACGAAGCTCCCCACAGACAGGCCTGGGAACCCGCTGGGGGGACGGGGGACCACGCGGCCGAAGCCGCAGCGCCCAGGCTCGCGGGAGAGCCCAGCCCCAGCCGCCGGCACACGGGGACCGGCTTTGACCCGGTAGAGCGCGGGGTTCGCGGGGGGT